CAATCCCCACCCCCACCCCCCCCCCACCCACACACACACCGTTTTTTTTTTTTCACATAACCAGAATGGTGGAGGTACAAGGGGTGATATTACATGAACGATACTCGGGTATTTGCTAGCAGTTTCTGGGACTGTTTTATTTTTCTATATTCATTGTACTGTTGTTGGAAGTTAGTGTGGCGATGTTCTGGCTTTGTCTCACGCCCGAAATTTTCTTAAAGTTTTGCTAGTGGCTATGTATAGATGCATTGCTCAATCTAACAGTGCTGTTGATGTATTACTTGATACATTAAGGGAACTATGCTTTACAACATTGTATCATACCTTAAGTAGGAGTAACTGACGTGCAGGAGTTGTTTTCATTTTTTATATGCTGGTGCACTTTTTGGTCTGTGAATATAAAGTTTACCTGGTAATTGACTTGTCAAAAACCAATACAAGTATGTTTGACTATCAATATTAATAATAATGACATTATTTATTAAAAGTAATTACTTTCACTAAGTAATAGTTTGTTATTAACTAGTATAATCTTTCTTGCTCAACAGCAAACAATGATTTAGCTTAATAGAACTTGTTAGAATACTGCACTAGTCAGTTGTTCAGTTATATCAAGTTTCCAAAGAGGATTATGGGTGTGTTTGGTACAACGGAAAATATTTTTTCCATTTTCCACTATCAGGTTGCACAAAATAGTTTGGAAAATGTTTTCCTTGATATCACATTTTTCTGAAATTGGAGGAAAATGACTTCCGTAGAAAAAGTTAAGGAAACATTTTCCAAAAACTCTACCTACCCTCACATCTAACCCCAACCCCCTCCAACTTCAATTTTTTGTTGTTCTCGTTTTTCTGCGCCACCCACCCCAACCCCGTCCACCCCTACCCCCCCCCCCCCCCCCCCCCCCCCCCCCCCTCCCCCCCCCCCACCCCCCCCCCCCCCCCCGAAAAAAATATTTTTTTTACTTTTTTTTGTATTTTTAATTTTCTGTTTTTTCGTTTTTCTGAACCACCCACAGCCTCAACCCACCCACCAGCCGCCCCTACCCCTCGGCAAAATATAATATATATATAATATATATATATATATATATATATTTAGTTCTGGGTTTTTCATTTTTCAGTTTAGAGGTTCGAAATTTTACGAGTTCCAAAGTTACGAGTTTGGAGGTTTATGTGTTTGGAAGTTTGCGGGTTCGAAAGTTTAGCGGTTTAGAAGTTTATGAAATTTGTGGGTTCGGAAGGTTGTTGGTTCGAAAGTTTATGGCTTCATGTTTATTGTATCTAAATTATTTATGAATACTCTTGAGAAGTTATTTTCCTTAATTTGCGTACTAAACACCGGACATTAAGATTACTACTTGTTTTCCAAGAAAATATTTTCTTGGAAAATATTTTCCACGAAAAACTTTTCCGTTATACCAAACACACCCTAAGTGCTTGATCACGCCCAACTATGCCTTATAAAAAAGACTAAGCGGTCGCTGCAAATATAATCCGGTTCAAGTCCGGAGTCGAATCCCACAGGGAACTAACCTATTTACTACAACTTTTAACACTGCTAATGATAAGCTCAAACAATTCCCGGATGCAAGATTTTTTAATGGATAATGAGTAGAATTTAGTTAACTAAGGAAAAATAACAATAAAACTAGCAATAATCAAGAATAGAGTTGAATTCAATGGTAAAATGGTCTAGGGTTATTGATTTTCCCTATTGTCGGATTAATTCCTGACACGTTAGCTATAATCTCGCCGTAACACTCTGTAAGGAATATGAGTTTATCTCTCATCAATTACGATAATTTACTAGAAGCATTCTCTCGAACTACTCTAGTTAACAATTTATGCAACTCAGAATTATCCCACCAAAGCTTCGTTATTTCTAACCCCGCTTTTAAATTCAAGTAATTAATCTCTTAACTTACCCGAAAGTGGTGTTGTTCAACAACAATCTAACCAAGTGTTCTTTCTCAAGCAACACGAGATAACTAGACACGATTAATCAAGGGCCCTTTCACTTAATCACAAGTCAACACGTAGTTGAACAATCATAGAGTAAAAACGGCTCAATTATATCAAAACAGAGTCAAGACTTCATCCAACAATTGGTTCCATCAACCCTAGATGACGGGTTTAGCTATTCATGCTAATAGATAAGAATTCACTATATAAAGTCATAATCAACAACGGAATTAAAAAGAAGATAAACACTATAAGGAAATTCTCTGTCTTTCTTCCGTGTTCTTGCCTTCAAAATCTCTCTAAAAATAGATATCCCTCTCTTTTGGACGAATTAGGCTTCATATGGGTTTAGGTTAGTCGCCCTAGAAATTACATAATTGACCCTGGGTTATTGGCTTCCGTCAGCTCGTCCGCGGCCGCGGATCTGACCGCGGATTTCACCAACATTCTGCCTCAGTGTGCGGCCCAGTGTGCGGTCAATCCGCGGCCGCGCACCTGGAGCGGACTTCCCCAATTGCTTTGCTTTCTCCTTTTCGACCGTGCTAACCTCCGATCGGCCTTCTACGCTCCATATTGACTCCAAAATACTCTTTAGCTTCCTCATAACTCGGAGTGGCTCCTGCAAAACATAAAACTCTTAATTAGAGCATTTTGTTATCTTTTAACATTCAAACATTGATAAAGTGCGGCCAAATTAGAGTGTAAATAGTATCTAAATTGCATAATTATAGTCTACTATCAGTGCCCCAAGTTGATGTTATTTTTAGCACGCGTGCCTCCGTCCCAAAAAAAATATGTATATTCCGGACATTTGTCGTGAGTGCTACTAGAAAAAATTGTTATCCAACCGATGGATTTCCCAGTTTTTGGATTTTCATTTCTTCATGTAAAAATAGTTCGATCAAAGGCCTCATCTCTGTACCCTTTCGTAGAGGAGGGGACTTCAAGCGTACAAAATATTAAGAAAGATTGGATGTTCCTTAATCGCTAGTCACGCACGGAGCTCGCCGCTTAAGCGTTAATTAATGTGCTTCTATTCAGCAAATAGACTTTGACTGAGATAAACCAGAATCAGAAGGAGCTCTGGTCAACAACAAAGTTTTGGGTGGAATGTTAAGACTCTTTCACATGGTATCAAAGTCAAATTTAGTGAGCTCGTTTGCACACATATTTTCTCTCTTTTAACTCAACCCAGGGAGCTTCTCTAGGGACTAGGATTCCCTCTCTATATCTCAATTCAGTATGTGATTAACATTACTCCAGAGTCTCCAGGCAGATTCATTAGTCTGTTGGGCCTAATCTTTCTCCTTTTATTCCAGGTGAGCTCCTGTTTTTACTTCAAAAAATAATAAATTCAAATCCATGCATGCATAAATCGTAGAGTTGGATTACATGTGCAGAAGGATATTAGAATATTACAATTGTACTTTATCGGCGTTTAAAAAAGTTCAAAGGGTTTTAAATGATTCTTACTACTCGAAAGTTTTGGTTAGATACTCAAATAATCTGAACCATGCATGTTCGAGCCAACTAATTTGAGAAGGATGCGTAAAGTTTGATGCAAAAGGTCTTGTGTATACTGTCATTTTTACTTTGACTGACTTGTTGAGAATTGAACTTAGAGTTTCACAGGTTAGATTGACGAGTCCTTTCATCAGTTTTTCATATGAATCATCAATAATTACAGTACATTGAACACAGTAGTACTGTGGAACAAAAAGAATTCTGCCATTTAATTATCATCGAAATGTGTAAAAAAGGATGTTAATAACTGTCAGTTTTTAGATTCTTGAAAACAAATAGTAACTCATATTCTTTCATTTGGGTCTTTACTTACGTCGATCTGTACTTGGGTGACGCTGACGCACCTACAATCTTAATCTATGCTCCCTGATGTCTCTTTCAAAGTTCCTGGACATGGGAATTGGGAAGTGTTGAAGTTGATATACTTGCACCACCTTTTCTCAGGAGGGCAAGCTGCCACAAAATCTGAAATTTTCAAGTTTTTTTTTTTTTTTTTTTTGACATTTCAAGTGGCCCAGAAAAGTCAATTCTTATGTCAGATCTTATCCCTGGTGATATCTCATCTGGTTGACATCTCTTGATTAATCCACATCCTGTTACAACCATACACCATAATTATTATAGCAATTCCATCATAAAAGTTTGATATTTCAAAAAAGAATAAAAGGAAAATAGAAGTAATGATTGTAGTGTTTGCATATGACCATCCCTGCCGTGGACCACTGGTTATTTGGTGATAAAGATAGCTAAACTTTTGCTCGAGTAGAGTAAGACTACGTACATATACACTGTTCTTCATAAATCTTTATTTGTAAGATTATATCGGGTTTGTTGTTTATAGATGGCTAAACTTTTACTTTTCAAGTATCGAAATGGATACACCACTTTAATTGCAACTTCGAAGAGTCAAAAGTTGTAGCATAGTTGCTTCATGTTAAAGGGTTGGAAAACGTCATGCACTTGACTTTACTCGTGCATCATTAAATGGTATACTAATTACTTAACATATTTATCTCAAGCAATACGTGTGGTTTCCTATTTAAAACTACATGATAATCCATGGACCTCTTAATCCTACTCCTGTTACTGATATTTAGTCAAAATGAACGTAAATAACCCTATCAAGTCTTTCTTTTAGTAGTGGGGAAGTTGACCGAGTTCATAATTAGAAGATTTACCTAGGCATGAAAAGAACACTACGACTGTATATAGGATTTCTTCAGTGACGAAAGGGTAAGAATTGTCTATTTGACTTACAAAAGTTGTTTGCTGTCACTTCCCAAAGCTAAATATACTTCACAAGAATTTTTTTCGAAATTTATGATCTTAAACATGTCATGATATTTGTATAGCTATACAATTATATCATTAAAAGTAAATGAGAAGTTTAAACTTAAACTATTTTTAAATATAAAATATATTATTCTCTTTGAAATAAATTAAAAAGAAATAGTGTCACGGGAAAGAGCAAAGGTAGTTCACAGTAAACTAGCTTACTAGCTTGTTTAGCCGTGCTTCTAAAATTAACTTTATTTTATAAAGTGTTTTTTCAAAAAGTACTTTTGGTTAGAAGTAATTTTTGTTTGGTTAATCAATTTAAAAAGAACCTTTGAGCATCAATTAATATTTGGCCAATTTTTTAAAAAGTGCTTCGAAGTATATTTTTTTCAAAAGTCCTTTTCAGAAAAGCGCTTTTAAGAGAAAACTATTTTTTTTTCTGCTTGTCAAGAACAACTTCTGCTTCAGCTCTCATAAACATTTTTTTTCTTTAAAAGCTTGGTCAAACACTTAATTTGAAAAAGCACTTTTGACCCAAAAAAAATACTTTTGTCCAAAAAAAAAGGAGGGAGGGGGGGGGGGGTGCAAACAGACTACAAAGTCTTTGATATGTTAAGTGTGATTTCTATTTATTCTTGAGGAAGCGTAGAGTTTGATTTGGTTCCTAAATAGAAGTCGAGTTGACTACAACTCCTATAGTGTGCTGCCCTAGCTGGCCAAAGCTAATTCATTTGACTCATCTTTCTAAATAACTTTTGGGTCGGGTCCACAGAACAGACCCTAGTCGGTCTTCTGCAACACACTATTTAAAGATATGACACTCTTAGCTATCATTTTATTGATGTTATCTCAAGGTGTTCTCCTTTTACACGATTCCAGACATGTATGTGGAAAACATAAAGTAGATGGTAAGAAGAAAATAAATTAATTTTCCTTTTATTTCTTTTGAAAGGAAAGGAAAGAAATAGAGAGAGAAGGAGAGTATTATTTTCCAGAGACCGAAAAGAGAATTGCACCTTTAAACCAAACAGGGAAGTGAAAGAATTCACAAATGTTTTTATTTATTTATTTTAAATAGACTAAGAAAACAGCTGTCACATAAAATGGAAAACAGGAATAATACTTATACTAGTGTTCATTTAACAGCTTAATATTCCAGTTCGGTACTATTTTTCTCAAATAGACTAAGGTCGTTTTCAATTTCTGTGGAACTAAAAGTAGAGAGGAGAAAATAGTTCACTAGCACAAGTTCCAAAACAGCTTACATGATTTCAAATAGTAGCAAAAGATGTTACTTGTTCAACTAGACTAGTTATAAATCGTGAGATATTTATATATGTTTCTTGGCCTTTAGTCCTTTACTATGATCAATTTCCGATTTAACAACAATACACATGTTAGTTAGGTGCATTGTATTTTCAGAATTAAATATCATTTATGTAGGGTGACTGTAGAGTTGTGTATACATCTGTCTCACCAAAGGAAACAGGAAAATCAAAGTGGGAAATCGGACTAGTCATATCTATAATTCCCATGGAAAAGTTAAAGTTTAATTAATAAAATAAAGAGCGTACCATGTTATTGTGATGGTTATTTTTAGCATAGGAAGAGGCAGGCGCAGGAGGATTGGAACAATGGACTTGATATTGGTAATACGGCTGGCCAACTTGACCCTGATACTCATGACTCTGTTGGTGGTGGCTCGGTGTCGACGAACCATCTGAGGTCGATGGTTCGGACCAGGAAGACTCATCTACCTCGAACTCTGCTAGGTTCACCCCAAACAACCTTACTTGTCTCCTTGTGTTGTTCCCATTTGCTGCTGTTTGGTTGTGCATTACTCTTCTTTCTATATATTTGTCACGGAAAAAATGAATCAATAATAAATAAAAACAAACAACCATTTCTCAAATATGAATTTGCACACATATATATAGGCATTATATTTATCCTGTGCCTAAATGCAAAACGTATCAAAGGTATATGTACGGTTAGTGAGTTGAGATCAAATATTCAGTCACCAAGTTATTCGTTGAAGAAATGTTAGTGTCTTAAGATCAAATAGACCTAATTGGTTGGTATATATATATATATCATGCGCACACACTATTTCAAAGAGTCTATACCCAAAATGAAAGAACACAACAGCAGTATTTGTTTATTTATGTCGCTGGCAAGTTGCATATAAGCTAAATAAAATTTTCACCAAAGGAATTTAAAAAGTAAACACACAAAGAAGTTCTAACACCTAATATATATATANATATATATATATATATATATATATATATATATATATATATATATATATATATATATATATATATATATATATATATATATATATATTGTCGGCGAAGGGAACTTGGCTGAACCCTTTTTGCCCACCTAGCTCTACCCGTGCAAGCTACCACCAAGGCGTGTAGTGGATAACAAAAAAATCTTCTATCTTTAATCAGAGATCTTACGGTTTCAGTCTTATAAATAAAGACCTCTTTGATAGGGAGCACAAAAACTCCCAAAGTGTGCTCTCTACAATGCCAAATCTGAATTGGTTGAATCAATAGATTCTGACTATGGAACACAGTTGAAAAAAGAAGAAGGAAATGGAGTTGAAACAGATGGGAGAAAAAACAAAAAGCAAGTAGCATGCCGCTTGTTAGTTGTTAGTATTAACTAATTAAACTACATACCTGCAAAGGTTATTTATGCAATGTGGCAAAAATGTACAACTCTTCACAACAAGGCCACAAAAAGAAAGAAAAGAAATGTTTCCACTCCCTAAGACAAGTTAAATTTTGACGAAAATTCTTAATTTACTAACTTTACTCCTTACATTCGATAAAATCGTCTATTCTAAAAAGTAGTGTTATTATTATTGTTGTTGTTACTTATCATTTTTGGTTGTTGTTAAATTTCCTCATTTATGTAAAGTATTTCTTTACAAAGAGAAATTAAATACTCCTATATATATACCGGAAAATAATATAACTATACCAGCAATACGGAAAAGATAGAAACGTGTAGTATTTGTCTGCATGTAGGTACAGTACTACATCGATAATGAAGAAAAAATAAAAAAGAAAGATAGGGTAATATTTAATGTATAGTGTAAAAGAAAATAATACCTGCATGAAGACAGTCAGGTTGGTATGGAACACCTGCCGACGGATAAGGATGCCCAGACCCACCGTAGTACACCTGGCCCCACCCACCACCACCGCCTCCCGGGGGAGCAACCCCTCTTTCTTGCTCCGAAACGGTGGCTCCAGCGGCGGCGTTCCTCCTCCTCCACCCAATAAATGTCCGGTCGCCATCTAACCGGTGGCGTTCAAACAAAACGAAATCACCAGCGTCTAATTTTTTCTCCTTCACAAAACGGCTCCATCCTTTAGTTAATACATAACTTTGACTACTATTCCAATATGAATATCTAAAAGTCCATAATTTCCCTAACTCGTCCTCGAAATTCAGTAAAAATCCCTTTTCGCCCGAGTCATTTTGGGTACCATTAATAGGGAAGTGTTTTTCCGCGTGTTGTTTTGGGATGACTAATCTATTGAGCTTCCCTACATCGCTTGGTGTTAATGGCTTCTCAAACAAATGTTCTTTTGGGATTTCATTTTCTTCTAATTGATTGTTATTTGGACAGAGAGAAGTAGGTGTAGTTTGGTTTTTGTAATTTGGAGATGAGGATTTTCTACTTGATTCCATGATATAGTGTTGTTTTGTTTTACACCACAATGGTTCTGTATGGTGTGAAGAACAATGGTTTATGGACATCTCTCACAAGAAGAGAGATTGGGAAAGAGAGAGCAATGGGTTATAATAAATGGAGCTTCAGATATTTGCTCCCACGGTATAAATATATTTATACAATTAAATCACTTAAAATATAATTTCAATTTATATGAGGTAGTTACGTCCAAGTTAAAGAGAAAAAAAGAATTTTAAAACTTGTAGTTTTAAAAGCTTAAAGAGTAAAAGTTATAAAAGCTTCTCATTAACGGTAAAATGAAGAGTTTAAAGTTGAATTATTTTCAATTATAGAAATATGTCATTCTTTTTTGAACGAACTAATAAAGAAAATGTGTCATCTAACTTGAAACAGAGGGAGTACTAAGGGGTTGTTTGGTTGGGAAATAAATTATCGCAAGATTAATTATCCTGGGACTGTTATCCCACTTAGCCACCCCCTATAGGGATTAAAATAACACTACAATCTTGGGATACCTAATCACGGGATTAGTTATATCATGATTTTATTCCTACCAAACGTGGGATAAACTCATCTCAAATTTAATCTGAGGTTAATTTTCCCGTATCCCTCGTACCAAACGAGGTCTAATAATGTAAAACAATTACTCTCTCCGTTCCAATTTATGTGAACCTGTTTGACTGGGCACGGAGTTTAAGAAAAAGTGAAGACTTTTGAAATTTGTGGTCCTAAACAAGTCAAAAAGGGGCCCAGAGTATTTGTGTGATTATAAAAGTTTCTCATTAAGGGTAGAATTGTAAGATTAAGCTAAATTATTTCCAAATTTAGAAAGTGTCCATTCTTTTTGGAACGAACCAAAAAGGAAATAGGTTCACATAAACTGAAACGGAGGGAGTACATAATAACTTAAATACTTATAAATTACCTATGCGGCGATGTAGGAACGTGGAAGGGGCAGGTAGGAGGGATGTATTTGAATAGGGGGTGTGTGAATATGGTTTTTAGGTGTGGAACCCGTGAGAACTATTTGAAGTGGCAAGAAACTAAATTCACAAAGATGAAATGAGAGAAAGATGCAAGTACAATGGTACGTTTGTTTAAGGTATTTGCGTGATAAGAAAAATCAATCATTTGTATCACTGCAATTTACTGTTTGGCAAGTACAAAAACATAGGTAAATACATATAATTAAATAATTAAAAGTCTGTTATCTTTAGTTGTTTAAATTTTTTGATAAGATAGTCATGCACTTCAATTTGACATAAGAGCAAATAAAGAATCCTAGGATTAAAAATTATATCCACATGCTCGGTCCATGATACATACACAACAAGGTGAAAATTATAGGTTCACTCTCTTAGATACGTAGTTTGGTGAAAATTACAGGTTCACTCTTAGATAGTATCAGGCCATTTGATTATGAAATAAAAAATAGATAGAGATAGTGGACAGTATTTCTTTTAGGTTCTACGTGAACCCAGCTGATGATTCGAGTATATGATATTATGACTAACTCCGGCGCGAAGCTAGAAAATTCAATAAGGGTATTGAAATTTGCTGAACACCCTTTGTCAGTGGATAGGGGTGTATAAAGGAAACCGACAAACCGCACCAACCCGATAATTCGAGTCAAACCAAGAAAAAACCCCGACTATAGTTTGGTTTGATTTGGTTTGGTATTGGGAAAAAAAACCCCGACCAGAATTAGTTTGGTTTGGTTTTAACTAAATTCTACTAGAATTTCGGCAAAAACCGACCAAGGCCGACCGACCAATTTTGATTGGTCAAAAATCAACCAAAGTTGGTCTATTTTCAAAATATTTTATTTTTAATTTTTTTTTTTTACGAAATCGACCAACTTTGGCCGGTTTTCTTTGGCGCAAAAATGCGGAAAACTATTTGTGAGTCTCGTGAAATTTATTTTTCAAGAAACCGACCAACTTTGGTCGGTTTTTCATTTAAAATAAATTAAAATTAATATTAAAAAAACCGACCGAAATTGATCGGTTAATTCGGCCTGTCATTTTAAAAAACCGACAAACTTTGATCGGTGATTTTATTTTTTAATAAAATCGATCAACTTTTGGTCGGTTATTTTCGTGCGAAAATACAATTAAAGAGTATAAATGAAATAAAAGACAGTCTTAAAACAAAATGCATCAATGGTCTACTTGTAGAATAGTATCCTGCCACAGTACAGACCTCGGTTTGATTCCCAGATGGTGCATTTGTTAATTACATAATTAAAATACCGACCAACTTAATATTTTTTTTTTTTTTGAATTTAGTTGACCGACCAAAGCTGGTCTGTAATTTCCGACCAACTTTGGTCGGTATGCCCTTCCGACCTTTAAAATACCGTCCACGCGTAAATGATCGCGTTTTGGACAGTTATTGGCCATTACAAACCAACTTTGATCGGTTTTTTGGAAGGTTTTGTCCGGATTTCTAGTATTGAAAGTCAAATCGAAATTAAGCCAACCCGACATTACATATATAGAAATTTTAGATATATTTAATATATAAATATACTTATTGTGATGTAATTGATAATTATTTCTTAAAGCTTTTCATAATTTTATCTTTTAAGGTATTATAATTATTTCAAGGTTGGATTTAGAAATTTTGAATGTTCAAATAATTTTATAGCCATTAATATTAGTACCTTAAATAATGCTAATTACAAAAGCCCAAACCAAAACCAAATTAATACTAATGCTAACAAAAGACATTCAATTCAATACTAGGAACGACAATATATTAAATATCTATTTTTTGTTTTGCAGTGATTTAAATAAAAATGCATAACCTATTTTTTTTAAGCGTTTAGTCATGTAATTAATACTCCCTTATTAGTGTAAAAATTGCACGGGGCACCCTATTTGATCGCCCCCATTTAACCTATACCCATTTTTTTTAAAAGTTTTAACTTGTACCCACTTTTTAAACAACTTTAGCCCTCTCTCCTCCTCCTTCTCCTCCTTCGTTTTCTTCTTCTTCTTCTTCTTCTTCTGCTGCTGCTGCTGCTGTTGGTGCTGCTATGAAACTTTAGTTCATTGGATGATTACCATAAATATGTTTATCAGATTATTTAAAAACAAATTATAAATAATTATGTAAGTTAGTAGACAATAACTTGTGAATATTTCCACGTACGTAAGTTAGTAAACAATGATAATTCTGTTCTTTTCACGTTTATTGTTTCCAAAATTTATGATTTAGATACTGTTGGCAATCTGATTATTTATCTAGTATGTTAGAAAGCTTTTTCAAAAACTTCAGCTTATATAGTGCTGAAGTGTTTGAAAAAGCTTAATGACAAAATTAATGAATCCAGGACAAAAAAAACTTCAGCTTATTTAGTGCAATTACAAACAAAAACTTCAGCAAATAGAGAATAAAACTTCAGCTACTATGCTTAAGTTCAACAATTACAAACAAAATCTTCAGCACACTTGGTTTAGCACACTTGCTACTTCAGGCCCGTCTACAGAATGCTGAAGTTTTGCGTGATTGCCTTTGCTACTTCAGCCCCGTATGCTGAAGTTACGCGAAAAAGTGGGTACGCTTGCAATTTTTTTTGAAAAGCGGCCACAAGTTAAAACGTGACCCCAAAAGCGGGTATAGATGCAAATGCCCCCTTATTAGTCTACTTATTTTAGCATGACTTAGTACTTTTAGATTATGTTTATTTTTATTATAGATTTTTATTTAGCAATATTTATATTACATAATTTTATTGTCTTTATTGTTGAATATTTTAGGATAATGCCATGACGCACCTCATTTTGTATTATTTTCTTGAAAAATACCTTATATAGTTGTATCTTACTAGGATTAAAGAAATATTTTGAGCACAAGTTATATGTTTTGTGCTACGAAGATTTTACCGGGGGAAAAAACCTGAATAACCCGAAAATCCGAGAAAAACCAAGATTAAAAAACCCGAGTTTTATTGGTTTGGTTTGGTCTTTAAATTTAATAATCTGACACAATTGATTTGGTTTGGTAATTATAAAACCCGAACGAACCCAACCTATGTACGCCCCTATCAGTGGGTATATGCGAAGAGCGTGCTAAATCCTCCAAAAGTAATACTCCCTCCGTTCCAATTTATGTGAACCTGTTTGACTGGGCACGGAGTTTAAGATGAAGACTTTTGAAATTTGTGGTCCAAAACAAGTCAAGAGGGGGCCCAGAGTATTTGTGTGGTTGTAAAAGCTTCTCATTAAGGTTAGAATTGGAACTTTAAGCTAAATTATTACCAAATTTAGAAAGGGGTCATTTTTTATGGAACGGACCAAAAGGAAAATAGGTTCACATAAACTGAAACAGAGGGAGTATATTTTTGGAGGATCCGATACAAATATGTTCACGCAGAATAGGTAAAAATAGTGAAATACAAGGATAGAAATCAGAGTAAATTCTTAGGCAAAGAATCAGGACCATGTTACTATGTTTGCTGGCTGGCATAAGGCTTTGTTCTTTAAACCAAACAAACAGATGATAGAAGTGGGTAGGGACAGCCAGCTGACACCGTAGTCTGTACCAAATCCTCCTACTATTATCCAACGGCAGGGCAAGGCCAGGAGCATACTCAGAAGCAGAGGGGGCCTCCTGATGTTGCGTGTGTGTGTTCTTTTTTTTTTCCTTCAATAGTTTATTCCATTATATAGGGGAATGGGGATTGAAGAAAGAGAAAAGAGCAGTGAAAATTGAACATACTTTCCCTGCTTACTCAATGGACCACTTATAATAGACCGATCGAAGTCGGTGTGCATAATTATTCCAAGTTTTTGGGCTTCATATTATTGTGTTACATTTGATATTTTAGAGGATTGCATAACTACACTTAGTGCTAGTTGTGGAACCATGTTCCATGCTAGTTGTGGAACCATGTTCCATAATTAAAACATGAAATATTGTAGAATAAGTAGTGCACAATTCACTAATTGCCATTTCAATGTGTTCTACCATTTCTTCTATAGGAATTTTCAAAAACCACTATTGTTTAGTGGCTATTAATTTCTTATAGCTACCATATACATAATTATTTTCTATAACTACTATTCAGTTGTTACGGCAGTGTATTAAGCGCCTAAAATCAGGGCAGTACAGC